GTCCAACCTCAGAAACACGAAAGACAACTTTGGAAGTCCGGTCGACTTTCACTCAACAACAAAGCTTACCCTTGCCGTTTTGGAATGTTTTATTGTCCTTGTTTTCTGTCCCTCTTTCTCATCTCTCCTGTCAAACTGTCCAACCTCCCTTCCCCCTTCCCCCTCTCTTCCTGCACCCTTCAGTCATGTTGGTCTTGTCTAGTCATAATTTTCTTTTAACATTATTAGTCATTAGTTCCTTTTCAAATTAATTTTTTATTATATTTACATTTGCTTTGTCATTGTACCTGTTTCATTTGTTGGCCGAATAAATAATAATAATAATTATAATAAAAACGATGTGCGCCTTAAATCACTTTATTATTTTACAATCTGTTTCACTGAGATTCAGATTTCGGTACCGAGTTGTTTGTCGGAATGAGACCTAATCGTAACGTTTAAAGTTTCTGTTTAGCCGAGATGCAGATTTCGGTACCGAGTTGTTGGAATGAATATGCTTTAAAATATATTTCTGTCGGAATAACACCTAATCGTAATGTTTAAAGTGCCCCCCCCCCTCCAAAAAAAAAGAAGAAAAAATGCATGCAATTTACATTAGACTGATACCTTTTTTTTTTAAATTGAAATGAGGTGTATGCGGTTATGTGTCGAGGCGGCGTGATCGGCCACGGTGCAGGCACGCCTATATAATTACATGTAGTTGATTGATATTGCAGGTGTATTAGAATGAGCAATAAATGCCGGAGAACATTGTTACAGAAGGGTGGTTTTGTTATGTTTTTGATGGAGGGGTCATTTCAAATATATTTTCCCATGTATTTAAAAATAAAGCCACGGCATACTGAATATATTTTGTTGCATTTATTTCTATTATTGGAGAATCTGTATACACTTGTAAAATGTTATGTAATTGGCATATGGTTGATTTTCAGCAAAACAAAAAATCTCGGAACTCTTTCCATGCATAGGACTTAACTTCTTAGATTTTCGACAAAAAAATATTATAAAATATAAAATTTTTGTGGATTTAATTATACTTCGTGATTTTAAATATTTTGCATACAGTTGTGTCTAGTACCAAAAATCAAAAGAAATTCATTTATTTCATATTTAAACAAACGTGTATTTAGTAACAATGTCGGATGGCAAACTAAAGTTACTTTATCAAACTAGAGACCAGAGTTGTGCATATTAAGAAAATTCTTTAAAATAACTTAGTTTTACTATATTCATAAATTAAAGTTATCACATCTTTTGCTTGAGCTTGTTTAATACATAGAATAAATGTAATTTAATTGATTTGTACGATTATTGACCTTTGCTATTAATCAAGTGTCTTTTGTTTTCTTTCATCGATAGTTAGAAAATATCAGACGACAAGTTTATTTGTTTAAAGACCAATTGACGTTATTGCCTTGTTAACTACCCAAACGGTTTAATTTTATGAAAGGACTCCTTAACCCCACAAGTCATGCTGTAACTCAAAGTTACTTATTTGGTGAATAAATGACCAGTAAAGACATAAACTACATTAAAGGGAATATACAACATTTGCAAACATCGAAAAATAAAACTACCAAGTTTTTACCGTAAATACCTTACTAGGATGTTGGTAAATGACAGTCTAAAGCATCCTGTAAAATTATGGCACCTGGTGTGAAGTCATTTTCAAGAAAATGGTATTTTTGTATACGTTTCCAGCGGTGGTCAGCCGACCATTGTTGGAAAAACCTAACTATTTTGCAACTACTGTTCCAAATTTACCATTGTTTATTCAGTTCAAATTTTGTTCGCTATTGGTTACATATTCATGAATGGGTGTAGGCCAGCTAGACTTGTTCCCTTACCTTACAATTTTCCGGCATCTGGAAATTGATCCATTTTATCTTTAGTGGAGTCAGGGAACCAGACTACATGTACTTGAACATTTTTGTTTTTCTTGTTTTTTCAAGCATTGTCGAACAAAAAACTTCAAACATGTCAGTGTAACAAAATTTGATCTATTATACTTACCCCTCAAATAGTTCATTTCTGAAAATTACAGCAAAAGCCAATGATGTATATTCCCTTTAAGTAACACTAAATGAAGTTTAAGCACACAATTAACCCAACAGGAGTTGTTCCTGGCGGCAGCACACAAAAAAGAATAACAGCGAACAAAACAGAAACTGAATCCCTTTCAGTAGAAGGTTATATAACCATGGTTATATAACCAGTGGAAAAATCACTGAAGCCTGTACATCCAAAGCATACAGGTAGATGCGTGTACAGCTTCATTGATAGTTGTGCCTGCATAAAGACAACAGCCCACTGTCCACTCACAAGATACGGTAGTTATTACAGTCCGCATCATCCGGGGTAGGATTTCTTAAGCAGTTAACAAGGTGTAGATTTATAACAAGTAACAAAGTAGAGAGATGAAAGATTAGAAAGATTACAGTTAATTAAAGGGAAAATACAACATTTGCAAACATAGAATTTTTAGAAAGATAAAACTACCAAGTTTTACGAAATACCTTACTAGGATGTTGGTAAATGACAGTCTAAAGCATCCTGTAAAATTATGGCACCAGGTGTGAGGTCATTTTCAAGAAAATTGTATTTTTGTATACATTTCCAACGGTGGTCGGCCGACCACTGTTGGAAAAACCTAACTATTTTTCAACTACTGCTCCAAATTTACCTCTTTTTTTCAGTCCAAATTTTGTTTGCTATTGGTTACATGTTCATTAATGGGTGCAGAGCAGCTAGACTGGTTCCCTTACCTTACGATATTCTGGCATCTATAAATTGATCCATTTTATCTTTAGTAGAGTCAGGGAACCAGACTGTTTGAACGTTTTTGTTTTTCTTGGTTTTTTCAGCATTTTCGAACACAAAATTTCAAACAGTGTAACAATATTTGATCTATTATACCTACCCCTCAAATAGTTCATTTCTGAAAATTACAGCAAAAGCCAATGATCAATGTACATTCCCTTTAGTCGAGTAGCATTAAGTATGAGATTAAAATGAATGATGGATAAAGGTAAACTAAATACATGTATTGTAAATAAAACTAACAAAAATAATTAATTGAATTAAACCGTTTGGGCAGTTGAAAAAACATAACGTCAATAGGTCTTAAACCAATTAAACCGGTCCTCTGATATTTTCTAACTATTGAGGTGGTAGTAAACAAGAGACACTTGACCAATCAACAAAGGCCAATAATCTTATAAATCGGATAAAATTATGTATTTTTTCTATGTATTGAAAAAGCTAAAGCAATAGATGGGATTTATTAAACTTTAATTTATTAATATAGTAAACATTTTTATTTAAGAATTCGTCACTGTTTTCACGAAAAGGCGAATTTAGTATTTCACTGTCTGAACAAACATTTGAGATAATCGCGTTTAAAGTTGGCCCTTTTTTTCATATGACAATTTGAAACGTAAAGATGCATAAAATATGCAAGATTTATGTATCAGAGGAAAGAAGAGCTTCTAATCTTCCCAAACGTAGCAAACTTTAAGAAAAATAGGTGATTAGTTTTGCAGAATTAATCAATTAAAGGGAATATACATCATTTGCTTTTGCTGTAATTTTCAGAAATGGATGGAATTGGGGGGTTGGAAATATATAGCAAATATAGTTACACTGATTTTTTTGAGGTTTTGGGTTCAAAAATGCCATAAAAACCAAGAAAAACAATCATTTTCCTGTAGTCTGGTTCCCAGACTCCATATAAGAAGAAACAGAGCAGTTTACATACATTGGGGAATTGTAAGGTCAGGGAACCAGTCTAGCTGGCTTGTACCCGTTCATAGGTGTGTAATCGATTGCAAACAAGTGTGATGGTCAATTGGGGCCAGTATTTGAAAAAAAGCCAGTTTTTTCCAACGCTGGTCGGCCGACCAGCGTTGGAAATTGATACAAAAATACCACTTTTCTTGAAAATGACAGTATACCAGGTGCCATGATTTTACAGGATGCTTTACACTGTCATTCACTAACAGTCCAGCAAGGTATTTCGAAATGATTTGGTAGTTATATTTTTTGATGTTTGCAAATGTTGTATTTTCCCTTTAAGAGAAGTGGCTGTTTGTGAAACGAAAAAAAAAGAAGACCAATTAGCAAATTCGCCTCTTTGTGAAAATGCTAAAGTGACTACACGCAGATTTCGCCCTTCTGCGGTCTGAGTCAATTCATTTTTTTGTACAGCACGCGCAGATTCTGCCCCACTGCGCATGTGTGGCATTGCCAAGTTTTACTTGTGTATTTTGATAGTGTATTAAATAAGAGTAGCTCCCCTTAGAAAAAGAAAATCATTTTAGTTGAAGTTTAGATGTCCCCACCCCCCTTTGTTGGTAGTGTGACCACTGTTTGTTTACTTAAGCCTACATGTTCCCCCTATAAAAGCTGCCACATGGTCAAGTCACACTTCATTTCAGCCAGCAGACCAAGAGACACTAGACATACATGCATATATTTTCCTCCTAACTGGAGTGTCTGTTCTGCTTGAAGTTAGTCTGTTGCCGAGTCATTTGCTTTGGTGAGTTTTCTTTAGTATATTGTCTACTTTCATTTATCATGTATAATTATTTTTGAACTTTATTTCAGTTTTCGTTTGAAAGTTTGTTAGTTTTTATAGGAAAAGGTGATTTTTATCAGCTTTAATCTTTGAAGAATTGCCAGTTCTGAAGTGACCCTTTTCATATTATTTGGCTTAAGACTTAAGTATTTTTACTTCTTTTGATGATAGCTGTTTTTATCCCTTCTGTTTTAATGATGAAGGTTAAAGTTTTGTATGAAAGTCCCATTTCGATTCCATAAGAGAAAAGTTTCTAGTTGTTCTCGGCTGTTTGACTGCAACCTTGGTTTTACTGAAGGATAGATTTTGCCTTGTTTCATTCAGTAAGGTTAAGATTTCACTTTGATTTTAGATTTTCTCATTTTCCTCTTGCATATTTTTTTAAAGTATTAATACATAAGTATACAATGTACATGTACATGTAGATGATCTCAACCATGTGCTTTAGCTTTTCATAGAATTGTCTTTGTACTCATTTAACTCACATGGCCTGTGTATAGGATGGTGCCACTGGACTTGTTTTATTACCTGCTAATCCTTCACTTTGGGGATTAGTGTCTCCCACTTCCTTTGTATCTTAGAACTTGTTTATTACATCATGAATATTCATTAGATCATTTCCTTATATGTTTTCTCTTTTTGTATTTTCTTGTTTACAGACTTTATTCCTGCTTGAGTGTTCTTTGAAAGATCCACTATTCACACTGTGTTGGTTTTTGGTTTTAGTCTTTGGTTTTTAGGTTTTATTCTTTGCTTTTAGTTTCTGGTTTTTGGTTTCAGGTTCTTGTGAATAAATTCTTTTTGGTCCTTTTTTTGTTCGAAATCTAGAATTCGTCTCTGGTCTCTATTAATTCAGTTTCCTCGCGACTTTTCCCTTCAAAGATCCTGAGTTTAGTTTAGTTTTGTTAGTTAATCCCCATTGAGTAATAGTCTTCGCGAGTTCCCCGAAGTGTGTCATTTTTCACGGTTACACATGCACCTTGAAATTCACCTCTTCGTGAAAACATTTTAATGCACGCGAATGGAATTCGCCCCTTCGTGATATACAATGTACGCGCTATTGTATTACAATGTATTTATTTACTGAACATTTAATACCATAGAGTGCGAAAATTCGCCCCTTTGTGAAAACGCAAAACGGCACTTTTGGCAAATTCGCCCATTCTTTAATTAGGTTAATTAAGATTTTAATTAATTTTTTGAAAGTATAGCCTCGCCAGGTTGTAGATATTGATATATTTATTCATTTTCACAAAAAAAAACCAAATTTCGAAAAACAGACGATTTTCATGAAATTCGCCCCTTTGTGAAAACGGTGATGAATTATACGATAATGAAAAGGACTCCTAAACCCCAAGGTCATGCTGTAATTCAAAAGTACTTATTTGGTATTAAATGACCAAGAAAGACATAAATATATCACAGAGGTACATGTAGGAATCATTCTGGTTGTTTATACTCGGGCCTTCTGCGCAAAAGGGTATTTTTGTGCATTTTGTCAATAGGAGTGATTATCAAAATTGCCCTTTGGGTATTTGCCCTTTGGGTAATTTATATGAAGGTGCTCTATGGGCAATGTCATCCCTATCCACAATACTATTTGGCGATTGTGCAATGCTATGCTGTATGAATTGTTTTGATAAAATTGATACGTGCTAGATAACTGCTCGTATATTATTCATCTGGGGAAGTTTGAAATCCTGACACACTTTGTGGATTTTCAAATATTATCAGGGGTGTGAAATCTCAGCTTTAAAGCTGATTTCAGCTTTTTTTTTGGTTTTGGATTTAAGCTTTTTTTTCAGCTTTTTCCCTCACTTGCTGTGTACAACAGTAAGGAGATTTCCCAAGCTCAGCTTCTTTACACCTTTTTTCAGCTATTTTTATAAGTGATCCTCCTCCAAAACCCCCTTAGTCTGGTTCCCAGACCAAAAGAATCTGAATATTTCCGATGAATCTTAGGTCAGGTAGCTGCTAGTGATACATTGTAATACAAAAAAGTCATGTGACTAAAATGGGAGGAATGCCTCTTTTTCCGAAAAAAAACCGCAGTTTGCCAAATGTATTTCGTCAAAATCTCAGATAGCGACTGGGTATTTCTGGGTATAAAGTATGTTATATTTTATAAGTACCTTGCTAAAAATTTAAAAATGAAGTTGATAATCAATATTCACAAATGTGACCTGTTCTGTCAAAATCAGACTTTTCTGGGCATAAGGTCGAAAATGAGACTTTTGCATATTGTTAAAATATGTACGTTTTCCTTTTAATTGGTGGTTTAATTTTTGAAACCTGTAATTCCTGGGCAAAGTTATGCTATTTTGAAGTTCATTGTGTCGAAAAGTAGAAGACGTAGAAAATGGCCACGAACGTCACAAAACAGACATTTCTGTATTTAATATACCTCAACAAATCATCAAAAATACTATATTTAGAGTTCAAATTAGGGTTTCAAACTTTTATAGTATATTTTAGACATGTTCAGGATTACAAATATGCAAGAATTAGAAAATCCAAAAAAATCACCCTCACAGCATTTTTTGGCCCTATCTTAATTTCAACCTCTGCCCATAATGCAGAAGCGTCTGCTTTTGACAGAACAGGTCACAAATTGCATCAAGAAACTTAAACTTCAGTGATGATTTTATGCATCAATTATGCACTTCTAAGGATCGTACGAGGGGCGAGCTTTGCTGCGTATTTTAATCTGGTGACGGTTACCGGGATTCTCGTAAACTCAGCGTGGTCTCCATTTTGGCTTTGCCTGCTAAGATGATATTAGGGTCCCTTACTTTTAAGATTACGGGTCAACCTTAGTCAATTTTTCTTACAGAAATATCAAACTGTATATGAAGCGGGTAATATTTGTTTGTAAAAACTCATCGGAACATTTAAAGCAATGAAGTGATGAAGTGAATTCGGAAACGAAGCCGAGCATTGAAAAAAGGGTGTCAATGTTGTCATGTTTGTTTTTAGCCCCTGAGGGTGCCTAACCTACTGTTTAGACGTCTGGGCGTCAGGGGAAATTGTCAGGTCAGGGATCCAGACTAAAACCCCCTCTCCCCCCCCCCCCCCCCCCCCCCCCTCAAACAAACACACCAAAGATCACCTTCGTATCCGGTCTTACTTTGTCATACAGATAGCACAATGACGTGGTTTCAACAAGGCAAGCACCCTTACGTCAGGGACCAAGGTAAAACATTCATCATTTGTCTCCATCTTTGAAAGAATCCTTTCATATATTCCCCTCCCCGGCCACTCCCATGCCCACCTTACCTTGTGATTGTAATCAGTATGTTTCTTTTAAGTGCATAAAGCCCTTTTCACACTAGACAAATCTCTGGGTTGACGCTAGGTTGACGCAGGGTTCAAAACATGCATCGTTTCACACTTGAAGAATTTTAACCCTGCATCAACCCTGCTTCAACCCCGAGATTGCTTTCGCCCCGGGTTAAACTTAACCCTGCTCCAGACCAGGGTTGAGATTTTCAACCCGGGTTGAAATTCTTGCCAGGGTTCAAAACATTAGTGACTGAGCATGGTAAGCTTGATTTGCATGAAACAAGTGTGACACAATGCGGGGTTGAACGCAGGGTTGAAAAATAAAAAAACTCAACCTGAGGGGGCACTGGGTTCGCCCAGGGTTGAGTTCAACCCGGGTTGAAAAGGGTGACTCAAGGGCTTATGTTATACATACATGTACATGTACATGTATCTGATCACTGCACTCTGGGATGGGTTAACTTTGATTTCATGGGAGGGTCAATTCACTGAGATGAGATCTTGGCCTACAACTTACAGTGTAGACTAAGAAGTGTGTGTTATATGTAGCTGTGGTGCATTGAATTTCTGCCTACATTTGACATTACAATTGTTGACTGCTGTGATGTGGGATATGACGTTTTGAGAAAAAAAAACGATTGTTTGTTGTATCGTGCCAATAAGTCAAAAAGATATACACTGTGTGGTTGAAACTAATGTGTGAGAAATATTTTAATCCAGTGTGATCTAACCTTTGATATAACAAAAGGTTCTGTTGGCTTTTCTGCTTCTGTGAAAAGAGAAAGGTGATTTTCTGCTTCTGGACATTGTTCAGCAGCCTGAGTTAAGTCTGCCTTTCAAAAGCAGAAAATGGAAACATCAACAATGTTTAATCTGATTTTCTGCACTCTGTTAAAAGAAAAGCAGATTCCATGTTTCGTCCACCAGCAAAAAGGAGGAAAAGTAAGATCTGCTTTTCTGAGGTATCAGAAAAACAGATTTAAGCATATTTAACAAAAATATCCAATCATCTTTTCCGATAATAGAAAAGCAGAAGAAGTGTAAACTGGAACCTTCGGAAGCATTCAATCTGTTTTTAAACTTACATGTAAAACTTTTCATCCTCCGTAAATGCCTGTTCCTGGTGTAAACCAGGAACAGGCATTTAAGTAAAAGTAATATTGCCTCAAGTGTCTCTTTGACGGTGCTTCTTTTGCTTGCAAATCTCATGCTTCATTCCAAGACTTAAACAAATCTGCTTGTTTTTCCTTTTCTTTTTTTTCTGCAAAATCTTCGGGATGTAACTTTTGTCCTCACTTTTCTTTGCCATCTTGGTGCCATTAATTCATTCAAGGGTGATAATATTTTTTCCCCAAAACATTCCCAATCCCATTCTACCTGCTGTGTTTTCTTTCGAAGTTGACCCTGTTTGAAAAAAAAAAATTGGTTTTGTCGTTAACCGACATGACTTTTTCAAATAATCAGTGTTGCCCTAGAGCCTGCGAAAAACAAAATTAACTAGAACACAATATTGAATTTACACCCCACTGAAGCAGAAATTCCATTGCTTGGTTTGAACATGCACCAAATTTTGATCCTGTGCTGCCATATTTTGATACAGCTTGTCATTGGAAGGAGTCCAACTTTTGTTTGTCTCCTCTTCATTTTCCACATTTTCCTAAAAATACAGGGTGAGTCAAAAAAAGCGAAACCCAAATGTCGGGACCAATTTTGTAGTGAAGTTCTGCATGTAGCACTTTCAAAATCTAGGATATGAAAGCTCAATTCATAAGCTTTCGTTTAGTACAAGAATCATTCAAATCACGACATGTACTTTTCAAGTTGCGGAGTTTTAAACACAGCCGCCGTTTTAAGGTTCTGTCCACGGATCACAAAAAGTTCAGTGCTCTTTCAGCAACACAAAAACAAATCACATAGGGATGTGTGTGAATTGTTTTCGTTTTGCTGAAAGAACACACATCTTTTGTGTGATCCGTGGACAGAACTTAAAATGGTGGTTGCGTTTAAAACTCCGTAACTTGAAAAGGACACGAGTGATTTGAATGATTCTTGTACTAAAAGAAAGCTTATGAATTGGGCTTTCATATCCTACTTACTACATATGCAGAACTTCACTAAAACAATTGTCCCGACATTTGGGTTTCCTTTTTTTTTTACTCACCCTGTAGAGTAGAAATAGGACACAATGTATGTGTGATTCAAGAATTCTATCAAAGGGTCCTTTCACTTTTCAGCGCTTAGTGCCATATCCTAAGCAAAAAGCCAATAACCAAAGCTAATACGCTTTGCACACTTTGCTTTGCTTTGCTTTGCACTATAACGCTAACCACCCAAACACCGCCTTGTTTTTCACCCTCCCCCATTGCACAGAATACGACCAGCGTGTAACATTAGGTCATGACCGCTCCAGACTTCACCAAGCTGCTCAAATGGGTCGTCTCTTCATGTTGCACGCACTAATTGAAGACGGTGCTCGTGTTAACGTCACAACCTATAATGGTGTGACGCCGTTACATGATGCGTGCAGTTCCGGCCATCTTCACTGTGCCAAGAAACTTATAAATGCCGGCGGAAAGGTACATTAATTGTTGTTCTTTCCCCCACCTCCTGTCCTATCAACCTATCTTCCCAGAGTCGGATGTCTTTGATAGATCCAGTTTGCACCAAGCAGCAAGTAATGGTCGCCTACTGCTCCTTCAGTCTCTTATAGATCAGGGTGTATGTGTCAATAGAGCCAACAGCAATGGCGTGACAGCATTACATGATGCATGTCAGACAGGGCACTCTATTTGTGCAGGCAGGATCATCAATGAAGACACTGAGGTACATTTTGTTCAAATTATGGGCAGTCTTTCCATACATAGTGTGTACATGTACATTGTACTATTGGTGTGTACACACCAATTGTGCACTCAAACTGCACCAACCCAAGATGTGTACACCCTTGGGAGATGTGAACCCTACCAATTGACAATTGTACTACAGACTAATGCTACCGGTATAATCAAACTTAGATATCATTACAGTGATGGCTCCATGGTTGCGTGCAGGTGGTATGCACACACGCAGTGCACCCTCAACCAATAGGATTTTCAAATTACATACGCGCCTCAAATTCAGAATGCGTCCGGCATGCGCTTGAGAGTGTTGTTAGCTCAGTAACAGATTTATCTGCATTACTAGTCTATACCTCAGGGGCGGATCCAGGAATTTTTGCAGGGGGGGGGGGGTTCATAGGCTAAAAAGATTGAAATGTAGACACGTTTTTTTCTCCGGACACTTTGCCTTCGTAAAGGAGGGGGGGGGGGGGTTCGTACCGATACCATACTTTCAATGGGGGCGCTGTTCGAATCTGACGATTATTAACACTATATCACCGAATAATGTACATGTTTATACCCCCTAACCAAGCTGGCTCTGTACGTACCGGTATTTTGTCCAAGGCCGCATTGTTACTAGCACAATATATTTTTTTGGGGGGGGGTTGCATTTTTTTTTCATGAATTTCTGTGGAAATTTTTTGGACAGAGCTGGGGGGGGGGGGGGTTGACCCCCAAAATCCCCCCTCTGGATCCGTTCCTGTACCTACAGTACGATCCTCAGAAAAAGTTCAGCGTCAAACTTCAAGTTGCTGGCTTTGACTCGACTTGAAAAATGTGTGACTTGAACTAGGATATGAACTCAAGGCTCACATTTGGACCAACGGCCTTGAATTCAAACACAGTTGATTTAATGGCCTTTTTTCTTTTTGACTGTAGTTGAATGCAATGGACATTGACTGGCACACGCCAATGACCCGTGCCTGTGCAGAAGGCAAGAAAGATTGCGTGCAGCTTCTTGTGCAGTCTGGTGCAAAGCTGAACATTAACAGCGAGAAGTTCTCACCGTTACATTGTGCTGTTGCCAAAGGTAAATGAAAAGAAAATTAGGAGTTGGTTTACTAATAACCCTTGAGTGAACATTATTTATTCTGCAAAATTATCAATTTGATTGTTTATTTCTGACAGTCGGCAGGGTTCGACCTTAATTAAGGTAGGATCCTTCCTCACTCTTGCAAAATCCAACACCAAATGGCAACTAACATCCAAACTGATTACGGTGGCATACCTGACCCCATGAAAAGCATAGTGCAGTCCTCGCTCCAACCGAATCAAACAAAACATGCAGTTGGATTTTGAAGGGTTGGTGTGGTAAGGGTTAATAAGCCAGTTTGATATCTCGATGAAATAGTCCAGGTCAAAGGTCATTCAGGATAAAATCACTGACGTGATGATACGCGATGTTACGCGATGTTACGCGGACGCCCATTCTGATTTTAATTATCGCACGAGCGTCGTGGGCCCGTCTCCACGCGCGTTCATACGCCTTCGATTATCCCGAATGACCCGTGACCCATACCATTGTGCACATGCGCAGTTGAAATACCGAACTGGTTTATTGTGTTTTACACTTTGCTGTTGTTACATTCTGTCAAATTTCAGAATTGTGCTTAGAAATTTCATTTAGTCACACCCAGGTAGGCACCCAACAAAGAAGCAATAAAAGCTACATTCCCACCTCCTCCCCTCCCTCTGTTTCCCATAACTCCTCCCCCTCCGTAATCATCTTACCCATGTGCTTTGTTCCACCTTCTAGGGTGTTCAGACTCGACCAACATTCTTCTGAATGCAGGAGCTGAGGTGGATAAATTGGACCACAACAGACTGGGGACACCTCTACATGCAGCCTCCCATTGCCACCAGACAGAATGTGCCAGAATACTGCTTCAGGCAGGTATGTATATGTATATTGCACACTCAGGAGTCAAGGTACCCAACCGCCTCAGATTTTCTAAGTCAGTCCTTTGTGTTGTTGACTTTGCAGTGTGAAAGCAAACGCGCGCCAGCAAGTTTTCACGCCATGAACTCGCAAAAGTTGAACACCTTTCAACTCTGCAGAATTTCGCAGCGAATGTTTTGGGATGTCGAATTCGCATTTGAATGCATGAAGTACGAACCAGCTTTTAGTGTGGAAGCTTAAAGGGAGAGTTTTTTTTAATTGTCACTTGTGCATTTGTTTCGTTTGAAACAACAAGACAGCTTAAAATCTAAAGAAGGGTGCTGAACAACTAACCTGATGAAGTTTCAGCTCAGTGAATGCTGTATATTCCAAGACAACAATATTCTAGGATCTCGATTTCATTTCAAAAGTTGCAGAGTCATGTTTTGAATTGCGACCAAAATCAACATCGGGACACGTTCTCGTTCAGCCGATTGCAGCTACGTGATATCACACACTGAACCGATGTATAATAGCAACCTCATGCGTTTTGTCAACGTTTGTGTACACCAAAGAAAGTTGAAAAAAAAAAATGGCAGGTGGAGGTGGTGACTCAACTGTTTTGTGTCCTAACAGAAATCATACTCAAACAGCCATCATAAATGTTCGTTATCCTGGTTCAAAGTGTTTAAATTATTTAAAACATTGTGCAGCTACACCCAGTTTCGTGAAATTGATCGTGAGTTTATTGCACAGCTGGGCAACAAAATGTTGTTGCGTAAATCCTAACGTAAGCTAGCTATGTACTTTTTTGTGAAATATGCTGGTGTTCTCTTGTCTTTGGTCACAAAGTCTGCTGTCATTTTATAATCCAAAGGCAACTTGTGTCTCTGGGTTGGGTCACATTTTCTTTATCTTGTCTAACTCTAACCCTAGGGTGTTTTAGCTAGACACCCTGCTGAACGCAGCAATATGCAACATTTGTCAAAATGACAATGCTGAGTGTAGCAAGATCCATCAGGTCAAAAGTCTCAAGGCCAACACTGCCTCATCAGAATCTGTGGGCTCCAACTGCAGCAAGATACAACTGTAGCATCATTCAATGGGAGTAGCTCTCATTGTCTCAGAATTAGTTATGTACTAATGTTGATGTCTCAATGTAGCAAGGTCCCACAGACTTTTACACCTGTCCTGAGTCACTGCGTCTGGTAGGGTTAGGGCTAATATGAGGTCAGTACAGGGTGAGTCAAAAAGAAGTTGACCGGGATCGGTGATGTTTTTCAAAACAAACAAATGACACTCAACAGTTCAGTAAAGCATATATTTAACAAGCACTCTCTCCTGCTTATTAGAAAAAAAAAGAATGAAACAAATTGATCATTTCTAAGAGGAGTTATGTCTATTTTAATAAAGGTACTCATTTTGCAAGCTGTCCACGGAATACTTGAACAAACAAATGTAAAGTAAGCATTTTAGCTGTGTACATTAACATTCCATGGACAGCTACAATCATGAGTGCTTTCAGTAAGACAGGCATAACTTCTCTTAGGAATGATCAATTTGTTCCATTCTTGTTTTCGGATAAGCAAAAAAGGATGCTTGTTTAATATGTGCTTCACTGGGGTTTTGAGTGTCATTCGTTTGTTTTGAAAAACTCACCAATCCCGGTCAACTTCTTGTTGACTCACCCTGTACTAACATTCTCCATTTCTCATTGTTGTCTTGTAGGAGCCAGTTCAAATGCTACCAGGCCAGACGATGAACAGACAGCCTTACATGTGGCAGCATCGACGTCAGCACCTGCAGAAACAATCACCTTGCTGTTACAACACGGCAGCAAGTTGCATGCCAAGGATAAAGATGGCAAAACTGCTCTTGAGTTGGCACCGGTGGATAGCGAAGCTTATGGTGTACTCAAGCATTATCATGGTACTCATCTTTTTTTTTCTACACCATTTTTGGTAGTAGCCATTTGCATTTGTGGTTGGTTTATGAAATTATGAAGCAGACATTGTTCCACTGACCAGCTCAATGTTTTGTGTCCATCGGTGATGGAAAAACGGTGTTCATTTTTTAACTTGTTCAAAGAAAAGAATTCTAACGTATACTGCACAATCCACACATCTGTAAAAACAAAATTAAAAACTGTCAAGTTCTTATTAAAGGGAATAGACAACATGTGCAAACATTTAAAAAAGGTTCATTTTTAACTTGTTCAAAGAAAAGAATTCTAACGTATACTGCACAATCCACACATCTGTAAAAACAAAATTAAAAACTGTCAAGTTCTTATTAAAGGGAATAGACAACAAAAAAAGAGTGAATGTTGTATATTCCCTTTAAAGGGATTGTACATCATTGGCTTTTGCTGTAATTTTCAGAAATGAACTATTTGAGGGGTTAGTATAATAGATCAAATATTGTTACCCTGACATGTTTGAAGTTTTGTGTTCGAAAATGCTGGAAAATCCAAGAAAAACAAAAGTGTTCAAGCAGTCTGGTTCCCTGACTCCACTAAAGATGAAATGGTTCAATTTATAGATGCCGAAAAATTGTAATGTAAGGGAACCAGTCTAGCTGGCCTGTAACCCGTGGTTACATGAACATGTAGCCAATAGCAAACAAAATTTGGTATGGGAAAAAAATGGTAAATTTGGAGCAGTAGTTAAAAAATAGAACTGGTTTTTTCTGACAATGGTCGGCTGACCACCGTTGGGAATTTATACAAAAATAACACTTTTCTTGAAAATGACTTTACACCAGGTGCCATAATTTTACAGGATCCTTTAAACTGTCATTTACCAACATCCGAGTAAGATTTTTTTTTTTAAATTTGGTAGTTTTGTTTTTCGATGTTTGCAAATGATGCATATTCCCAAAGTGGTGTAATTGAATATTGCTTTTAAAAGTCTACATGTGGATGTCATTGTTTCTCCACATTGCACTTCCAACGACAACTTGGCTTAAGTTGCATGTTTTGTTACCCCTATCTTTTCAGAAAATGTGCCTTTACTGTCTGAGCTGAGTCGTGAGTCGGTCAACAAGTGTCTCATCGATCAGAACGACGCTATCAAGTTTCTGCCCCTCCCAGAAAAACTCAAGGCCTTCTTGGGCTTCGAAAAGTGAGCCTGGCGTCGGCCGTCTTGACTCTTTCACAGTGCAACTCAGGGTTGGTGATGTGTGTGACCATTTATAACCAGTTTTGCTCCTCGAATCAGGGATTATGTAATTGAAAGTCAGTTTTATGATGTAGTAGTTTTGAGGGAATCAGTATTTTTATTTTAAATACGCGCACAGATTAGCGTGAGCCACATGTGTACCATATTCATTCTTAACACTCAGTCAGCATTGTTTGTGTTTTTGCACAGCCGTAAAAAGGAGTAAATTGAGAAAAAGTAAGGCTTTAATTCTATGTATACATGTAATTTTATTAAAGAAAAAACATTAAACGGTTTTAATTATTTGTTTTCTGAATGTTGCACTTTTTTGGCACACTCGGTTGTCTCTTTCTAAAAGAATGTGTCCATTGCAAATGTCCTTGCAATTGTTTTTCATGAGAGATATCGGTTTTCACTATTCACACAGATCTTGTAGTTCCATGAGCTTCCTAAAACTAATTGGTGCCAAAATAACAAGATCCAAAAACATTAAGCCATAGGGTTGGTAATCTTTTCTCTGTGCTTGAACGCTGTCTTTCTGGAACAGATTGATCCAACATTTTGTGTATGTAGAGACATTTCGTGCTTTCAACTCTCACATTTGAAACAGTGGCGCACCTAATATAGGAGGGGCCGGGTGTGGCATGGAGGGACTTGGAGCTTTCAAAACAAAACTAAAGGTGAAAGCTGTATTCAAATTTTCCATGGCAGTAAATACAGGGTGAGTAAACAAAAAGAAGAAACCCAAATGTCGGGACTATTGTTTAAGTGAAGTTCTGCATGTAGCACTTTCAAAATCAAGGATATGAAAGCCCAATTCATAAGCTTTCTTTTAGTACAAGAATCGTTCACATAACTTGAGTACTTTACAAGTTACGGAATTTTAAACACAACCACCGTTTTAAAGTTCTGTCCACGGATCACAAGAAGGGAAGTGGTCTTTCAGCAAAACAAAAACAAATGACATAGGGATTTGTGTGAATTGTTTCGTTTTGCGTAAAGAACGCACACCTTTTTGTGATCCATTGACAGAACTTTAAAACGATGGTTGTGTTTAAAATTCCGTAATTTGAAAATTACATGAGTGATTTGAATAATTCTTGTACTAAAAGAAAGCTTATGAATTGGGCTTTCATATTCTAGATTTTGAAAGTGCCACATGCAGAACTTCACTAAAACAATAGTCTCGACATTTGGGTTTCTTTTTTTTTTTACTCACCCTGCATTGATGAGCCACACCAAGGACAATAAATGGGTGCATTAATGGTTAGTAGTGGTCAGGGTCATTCGTCTGTGCAATTCGTAAAAAATACTAAAACGTTATTCAAAAATGTCCATCTCCATGATATAGCTTGAAGTTTTCAGCCATGCAGGGTATTTCTGCGTTAGTCTTTCTCACGGAGGAGCATAGATCTCACTCATGAGGTGGCCATTTTCGATCATGTTCCCTGAATCTATTTTATAAATTGTAAACAGTTGAATTGGATGGTGCCAGACTATTTATGCGTTCCAAGCCTCACTTTCCATTTTATTTTTTTTTTAAATATGGCTTAAAACAGTAAGGTAGGTTTAATCACAAATTTTAAATTATTTGTCAGAGCAGACGGGTGTTTATTGTAAAGAACTTTAGATTCATTGCTTTGATTTCTACTCTCAAATTCCAAAAATGAAGAGTTTTCCTCACTTTCAATAAGCCACTTGCGTGTTAGATTTGAATAAAATCTGGAACGCTGACTTAATACAATGCTTTGCACGTTTTAACCTAGCATTCTCCCGACCAAAGAGACTGTTACTATATCACGTGATTCGGGGCAAGCCTTACACTAGCAACCCCCAGCTCCGGCATGGTCTGGTGTCTTTGTGCCATTCTCACCCATTGTGAACGATGTATTGGTGCTGAGCGTCTCTTACGTAACTATGCAAGAGCTTGCCCCGAAACATGTGATTAGCAACAGTGTCTTTGGTCTGGAGAATTCACAGTTAAAATGTGCCAAGCATTCTGAGCAAGTCATTGTACCAGACGTTTTTCAAATGTAAATCCCAAAGGGTATAGGTTACACGCAAATGGCTTATTGAATATGGCAGACTCTTTAATAAAGTCTATCGCACGGTGGGAGGCCAGCATGTAATAGCTACCATTAGCAATGCTACCATTGATCTCTATTCAGACTGGGTAGCGTGTGCACAAACTTTGGAAAGTCATGTTGGAGAGAAAATGAGGAAAGGTTTTGGATATTATTTAAATAAATTTTGATATACTAAACTGTATTTTTGTGTGGGTATTAACAGACAACCGCTGCCTTGATGAAGTACACATGCAAGTATTTATTCCAATCATGTTATGACATCCAGTAAAATTTTTCTTAAATATATATTAAGAGTAGAGGCTTCTAAACTAATCATGTTGTATGGTAATTTAAAGGTACGTAAGATTATATTTTTTACACATCTCTTGTTTTGTTTAAAACAACAAAATTAAAGCTCAAAGGGTGCATAACAATCTGTTGAATTTAGGCTCAGTGGGTACTGTACATTATGAGAAAACAAATGCCCAATTGTTTGGTCTCGTAACTGGCTTTGGTTATTAAAACATAAAAAAGTCTGCCTGCGGGCACACTGTTTTGAAAACTTTACCACTTCAGGTGGAATATGTCACAGGGTATTTGATGCCAGTCCTATCTTGACTTTATTAAGCAGTGTTTCTGTCATAAAATCGGTAGGTACTTTTCTGGGTAATTGCAAATGATCCTACATGTCTCTGCCTTCAAACATAACATGTCTGAAAGAAGTACATGTACATGTAATTTTACAGTAAGAGGATATTCATACATGTACATGTACATTTTTGTACGTGTACTTAGTATTTTTTTGTATGTTTCGTGGGAAAATTGAGTTTTATGCAAAACTGATGTTTTCCTAAAGTGCAAAATAACAAAGGTAATTTGTATATTTATATATATCTTGTGACTATCTTCACACCACTAACAAAAATCGTGAACAAATACTAAGATGTGTACAGTTTTCCAGACATGTATTTATATGAAATGTGTGTGATAACGTTTGCCATTTTGCCTTATTAAACAGCTCTTTCGATATTTGTTTACTTTGAAGAAAGCAAACATTTCATGCAACGTTCCTTGTTTATAAAGGATAAATCATGATACATCTCAACAGTTTTAAAGGATAAATCATTGTACATCTCAATGGTTTTGTAGACGGTTTTACCATTGCTTTACGTGTCTTTGATACTACATGTACAATAATGAATTTATGATCCTCAGAGTAAGTTATATTTTTCTTACACAGGAGCTTGTAACATTAAGTTTATATGATATTTAACTACTTCCGTACAGTGTAAAAGACTTGTAAAGGTAAACATTAAAGAGGTTGTGGAATGCTCAAAGACATTTCCGTCATTTTTTCGGGTAAATGTAGCCTTAGGTGTGATGAAATAAAAACGACTATTGTTTCTGGCATAAAATGAGTACAAAGGGTACTTTTGAGAGCTGTTTTTCAAGTCCTGTCATGCCTATTTCGACCCGAACGTGCAATTTGTGTAAAAGTCGTCGTTGCGGGCAGCAAACAAAACACAGTAAATCGTGACGTAATAAACAGGACTCCCGATGCAGAGTAGCATAAACGAGTCCTGTTTATTACGTCACGATTTACTGTGTTTTGTTTGCTGCCCGCAACGACGACTTTTACACACATTGCACGTTCGGGTCGAAACAGGACCTGAAAAATAGCTCTCAAAAGTACCTTTTGTGCTCATTTCATGACAGAAACAATAGTCAGTTTTATTTCATCACACCTTAGGCTACATATACCCGAAAAATGACGGAAATGTCTTCGAGCATTCCACAACCTCTTTAAGGTTATTTGGTACATTTCAGCAAGTACAGTTTGTACCTCAGAAGCCTCCTTTTTATGCAATAGCAAGACTTTTTTAAATGTTGGCGCAGACTTTTGTAGACGCTGTGCATTCAGCACTCAGTAGCCATCTTTGAAGTGTTTAATGCTGTTTTAATTTAGTGCCCTCATGGTCTGGAGCATTGAATTTGTGGTCTGCGGGTAATTCTGCAGGTTGTGGGTTCTAGTCCAGCCTGAAATTATGGTGCGTGTGCCCTTGGGCAAGGCACTTTGTCACTCGTTGCTTCTCCCACCCAGGAGTAAATGGTTACCTGTGATGGCAGAGGTGGTTATTGTGGTTGATTTTAGCTGCTTTGTGCTGAAATGGCAGCATGGAGCTGTATACTTCCAGGGAGCTGAGATTGTCTTTGGAATGTTTCATGGGCCCAGTGAGCAGGGGTAATAATGATGTAGCACCTTGAGCATCAATACTGGATACAGTACATGCACTTTATAAAAACACATTAGTAGTAGTAATAATAGTATTATTAGTATTAAAGATTTCTGCAATACAAAGGTTGATATGACTTTGTACTTTATTTTCTGTGGACTTCCTCAGATTACTGTCCACCGTGTCTTTCTTAATAAATGACTTATTTCAAACATGGAACCTATTTTGTAGGGATCAACTAAGTGTAATTCTCGTGGCAATAACTAGTGTGGAGCTTGCATTATTTACTTTCACTTCAAGTTTGTATTGAAAAGTTTCATTTCTAGAAAGGTACCCTGTGATTTTAAGGAGAGCACCTTTCAATTCAACCAATTGTTGCAGAGAAGCTTAGAGAGTACTCAGTGTGTTTGAGAATTAAAGGTTTCTAGCCATTGGTAGAATTGCTTGAGAAAGCCAGAGTTAAAATAAATTCTGCAGGGGCTGCAAATGTTTGTTGCATATTATTAGCCACCGTCGTCACAGTGGTTTTTATGACTGGACATACACTCAATCAAGAAAGAAAGCCCCCCCCCCCCAATACTTTTTTTGTCTAACTCAAAAACTACTGGGTACCTCTCAACTCTCACTCAAATAACTACTAATCAGTAGAGACATTCTTTAACATTCCAGCTATACTCTTTATTTGGCCCAAAACGGTGATAATGTGTACGAAATTATGCAATTTGTGACAATGATACCGAAAGAGTTACACTTTTGTATACATGCAAGTTGAGTGTGAACATTTTGTCTTTAACGCAATTTTCCAACAAAAATTTCTTAAAATTGATTTCTTAAAATCTTTTCACCCTTTCCTTTACTGCATACTCTTCATGTTCTTCGAGGTTAAAGGAAAGGATAAAAACATAACCAACAAAACTTGAAATTATTTTGTAAGAATTTTTTGTTGGAAGATTGTGTTAGAGACGAAATATGTTCACACATATACAAAAGTGCATATTTTTTTCGGTATGTCATAAATTGCACAATTTGTACACATTGTCACTGTTTTGTGCCAAATAAAGAGAGTACGACTGGATTAATTTCTGTCCTGAAATGTCGTTATTTGAGCAAAAGATGCTCAGTAGTTTTTGAGTTAGACCAAAAAAGTATCGGGGGACTTTCTATTTTGGTTGAGTGTATATATCAGAATAGAAATTTTCATGGAGGCAATAAATAAAAAATGAATATTGGAAGCATTTCTGTCTCTGTGAGGTATATTCACAATTCCTTTTATTTTGTCAATCTCGTGCCCATCCATACACGTCATTATTCACAGCATCATGATACAAAACTTGGAAGGAAGTTTACAACACCACAAATATCTGTTTGCAAATATAAGTGTGCAACTTTTTTGGGGTTTGGGGGATTCACGACCCCATGGATGTGTTCCACATAACAAAAGACACTTTTATTTTACATTTTTTTACAACTACAGGACAACAAAGTGAACGATTACTCATTTGAAAACTGGTCATCAATAAGTTCCATTGCGATTCTCCATGTCTTTTTAATTCATCCATTTAATGAAAAGGTACAAAAACATCTAAAAGTAACAATTACATAAGACAACATAAAACAATGGGTTTGCTATTTTGCTGTACAAACAAATGAGAAATTAAACCATATAAGTTATGAATATGTTTTAGGTGCTGCATAATTCTTCATTGTTTTATGCACCAAATAACATAACACCGATTTCAGACTAGCGTTAGAGAGTTGCACTGAACCAAACTATTCGTAAGATTTGACTAAATCTTTAGTTAAGTCGTGGAAAGAGTTGACTTATGCATTCATTGAGATCCACTCCACAGGGTAGTCAACAGATAATAAATTGAATGAAGTTCGCCGGTCTGAAACCAAAGTCACTCGTAATACTATTTGGTTTGGTGTGACTCTGGGGTGCCAGTCTGAAACGGGTGTAGTAAAATGGCAAGAATACAATATGCTTTTTTTGTGACTCTACACATAACTTAACATTCAATACTCGAAGACAAAAAGTAAGTGTTTTTTATGATTGACTGAAACAAAGCTGATTTTGTGCAAATTAAATTCCATGAATACAAGATAGTTGAATGAAGTGCACGCGACAGCATCCTTACCAGTTCTTGCATTATTTACATGATTTATCAGACTATATATAGTCAGGATCCCTCAACAATGCAAAATGAATAATGCCACACATAATTGAATACAAAAAACGATCAAACATATTACAATCAATTTGAGGTGAATGTTGTTGGCAAGATCGCCAATAGAGGGCAGTATATCAATGCTGCTTTCACCCATGTGACAACAGTAGGGCACACTGCCAATTTATTTCACACACATTGTCCATGGAGAGCAAATTCCTCCATGCATGTGCACCACTTTGACAAGGAAAGTCAAACTTGTCATCTGAACATGGGTGCTTTTACGCTTCCACGGATTTGAGAACAAGAATGATAAGGACACCAGCGAATATTGTGACAAATGACAACGTTGAACAATTCTTCAGATCATAACAGTATAATGTGTACACGATCATAAGGCCAAAAAAAAAAAGGCTCCTGTTTCTGGTATGGAGCTTGCCCAAAAAGTGGTGCGGCGACGCGGCTTTCTTTTTTTTTTACCTGATTTTTTTGCTTCAAATGTTGGCTGATGACTGCAAATGGTGCCCGACTAAACTTAGTACAAATATATGGGAGTCCAGAGAGGCCACATAAAGCTTATTCTCGACCATAACCCAATCTAAAAACACGTTAAAATTGTGCAGCAGCAGGATTCCAGTCAAACCAGTGAGTTTGGCGGTTTTGAGACATCATCTTTCATGGAAAAAAAACCTTTTTCATTTTGCCGACGCGCATGGCTACGGCGACGCGCGCGCATACCAGAAACCAGAGACTTTTTTTTTTGGCCTAAAGCAACTGCTCTGCCTAATATATCAAGTGCCAGGTTCTCAATGAACAATTCCCAAGTTTCTTTCCTTCTGTTTAGTTGAGAGGTCAGTAGTACTACATGTCATTGCTTGATGCAGTTGAGAATTCCGATGCAAACCATCTTCGGTAATCAAAGAGTTCAATTCTTTGCTTTGGAATGTTATTTTGTTATTTTACCATGTTAGTCCAAATAACTTCATGTGACTTTAAGACAAGTTGGTTATTTCAGATACAACATCAGAAAGTCAAACTTTTTTTCAAACAGAAGCAACCTTTTTAAACACACAGTGCATTTCCCTATTTCATTTTATATCTCACCCTGCAGCAGTTTATTTAGAAGAGCTCGGTAATATGCTCCGTAGAAATAATTGCCAAAACAATTTCAGGATTTCCTATGCCAAAAAAACTAAAAAAATCTGCTCAACATTTCTATGAATGTGCCCAAAGTTATGCAAATTGCATTACCATGGTAACAAACAGCTGCTCCACAGCTGTTTTCACATGAAAGCCGGCAACATGTGTTATCGATCACAGGAAGTGAACCAGCCAGATTCCTGGTCATGTAATGTGTAAATTGCCTACTTCCAAATATTCCCAGATTTCACTGTTTATTTTGGCAGCATACACAGCCGCTAAAAAAAGTAGGTGTACATGTACTTTGCAATCACACTTGTTTAAAATGCATCAATGCAGTGGCACATCATTGTTTATACATTTCCCATGCTTGCTTAAATGTTCTGCTTAAACTGAGTAATGATTAGCTTTATAGAAGGGGTAAAGTAGATACGTATATGCACAATGGGATGGACCAAACCGTTTATGCACTTTTTTTTCACATTTAATTCGTAACTGTTTTAAACAGGAATTGTTTTGTTTTGCGAGGGTAGGTTAGTTTGTACACATATAACATAACCGCTCGTTTCCCAGTGCTGTGGTTTACCACAAACTGTCTGAGATTATTGCCAAATTCCTCCAAGTTTGTATCCGCATTTAAAATGGCAGAATCTGTTCGAGGCAATCCACTTCAACAACTCACTCATTTCTGCATCAGAACTTTAAAAACAAAACAAGTGCCTGGTATGTTGGACCAATTGCCTTTTTGTTCTGATAACAGTCCACTCCGCCATGGCGCAGTTGCGAGTGTGTACCCTTGCTAACTTCTTGACCAGATTCCACGCTGGTGATTCCCGGCTGAATTCCCCACGGAAGATCCCTCAGCAGACCGTCAGCTTCCAGCTTGACTTCCAAGACAAACTAGCGTTGTCAGAATTCACTGGAAGAGAGATGGCTGCCGTGTTGCGATCGTGTTGGTGTGGTTCCGCCCGTCCGACTCGTTTCTCGCGAGTGTTCTAGGCTGCCTGAGGAGAAACCTCTCACTCGTGACGTCATCAGTTATCGCTCCGCTCAAAACGCAGAGTCCCTTTCAAAGTTTGTCTAAACCTCTGTGGCATCACTGGATGCAGTTCTTACTGCTCGGCTGAACAGTTGTACCCATTGTTTCTTGTCGTGTTCATCCGCGGCAAAGAATGTGAAGGACTGATTGGCATTGGGGTCCGTGGACTTGACTCTGAATGCGTGCTTCACTGCAGAGACAAAAAAATAAGGAGAGAAAAAAAAATATTTAAAATTTCTTATCCAATGTGGCAAATGGCTTAAATAGATAAAAATAGAGTTTTAGATGACACATAACCGAAAGTAACATTTTTTGGAGATGTGCCACGGAAGTGGATGTAACCAACTAAGTGATAAATCAATCATTTCTTCCTGGACCTTCAACTCAAACCAGCTCATAATGAAACAAATTGACTGGAATTTCAGACTAAAGACCAGTAAGCCCTTGCTTACATTTGTCAGGACACAAAAACATGCTTGACCATCACAGAGTTGGTCTTGGCCACTGACTGACCGATGACCGATGTGCCCCTGACCTCAGTTTTAGAACCCCCCCCCCCTTCACCTCTGCCTCTGGTGTGGTAAAGGTCACATACTGGGTCAATAAAAAACTCCCTTGCAGGGGTATTCACAAATTACTTTGGCTTCTACATGTAGGATTAGCATATGGTACAGAGCTCGATGATCATTAACATTTCATTTAAATTGAGTACTATACAGAATGCAAAACATCTTCAGTCGACTCTCGTTAATACAAATCAACCGGACCTAGCCAAAATGTTTGTTATATCAGAATGTTGTACTAAGTGGAGTGCTGGTCCCATTCATTGTGCACATAAATGCACAGTCGGGACCAAGGCTTTATGTTTGCTATAACCAGAATTTGTATTAACAGAGTTTGTACTAACAGGAGACGACTGTAAATGCTTCTAAACCATTCACCTATTCAGTTTGGTGTTTACGAGTCGGTGATTGTATTGCAATAACTGTCACACCAGAGAAATTCCCAACCAAAAAAACAACAGTGTATGAATCCATATGTTTGTACACGCATTATTTGCACTGGACAAGTTTTTTTCAACAACATACCAGGAGTGTAAGTGTAAGGTTTAACAACAAACAAAACACGCCAGCTGAGTTTATCCAAACTTGTTTTGGCAATGTTAAAATAACCGCATCGGCCTCCCCTACACACTGCCATGCAACCCACGGATCATGTTGCCTAGAAGACCCACTGAATGAGTATCATTACTCCTACATCTGGGTTTAGGGTTACCCATATTTGGTCAAGGTAAACACTCCCCTGGACAGGGCTACCTCCCTATGTGGGCGTAAGGGATACGTTTGACGTGTTTCAGCAGTTCAAGAAAATGACAGGTCATAGGTCACCTTGTAAAACAGGTGCATTATCTCAGTAGCAAGCTGGATGCGATTCGGGAACTGTGATTTTACCAAATTATTTGTTTGTAACATTTAAACCAGATCGTGGAATTGGTTATCAGTGACACAGTTTGAACTAATAATTTGTGGTTTTGTGGTCACGGAGCAGACTCGGGAAGAGATAATCAATCTGCTTGATATGAAAGATGCAAGAATTTGGCTGATTTGTCTATGTCATTGAGACCGTGAGCAGTGAGCCTAGCATGATTCAGAGGAAAAACATCGGATCATCTTGTGGATTTTGAGTTGCTCTTACCTGTCTGACCGCCGGTCAAGCTTCTGAATGAACCTGCTAGTTTGACCTCTCCGTCGTCCAGGTCATCTAGCTGCATACTCTGCACAGGGATGGGGTTCTCATAGACCTGGTACATCTTCTCGTCGTTTCGCGTGGCTATTCTGGTCACTACCAGGATCTCCTCAAACAGGAAGACATGCAACTTCTATAGAAAAAAAAAATAAGAAGAAGAATAAATATAATGAAATAAAATAAAATAACAGTAACAAGACAATTTGTCAAATCAACTTCAGGAAGAAATTTAGAACATGTATGAATCACTGCAAACTGCAGGACCATCTGATGATGAATTCTCCACAAGATCTTTTTTCAAGACCGAGTCTTTTTTTTTTAAATAACAAAAATTGGGCCTGATTGAATGAGTGATGCACCCAAAATGTTCCATTTCATTCCCCTCCACTTATGTGTGGAATAACTTACATGTACTTTGTTCATGAAAAAAAAAGGTTTCTGGCACTGTGAACTGAAATTGCTAAAAACCCATTACCCAGAAACAACTAACCTTGAATTTGTTTTCTTTGATTATACACACAGACAGGATTGTCATTTGTATAACCTGATAAATCACACCCTTCATTGTAAAATCCTGCCTTGAAAATTTGTATGAACTGCTGTTATTGATACATGACAACTCATTATCTCTGGAAATTCTTTCGCAAATGAACGGCCATTCAGAAAACATGTCTGGAATGCCGCGCCGCAATGCCAGGTATTCCTCAGGTAACCTTGCCCGAATTGATGACTTGCAATCAGTCCCTGCAGGGGACTGTCAGTGGCAAATATGCTGGGCTCTTGTCAAATCTCATCACTCAGACTCTGTGAGTTGAGCCAGGCACAGCGAGCCACATTCACCCTGACTGCTTGGGCACGCACCGTAATGCTACGCGACTGAATAAACCACGCACAGCGTGATTCTTCGAACTGGGCAGACTTACACCTGGTTCAGACAGGCTTCCGCATTCCACAGTCGCGCTTATCTATATCACTCCACCGATTTGAGTTAAGCTCAACGTTTGAAACAAATAAGAGCAACTGCACGCAAACTTCGGACTGCTGCAATTGTTCATAGTTACTCCAGGGTCTAGTCAATGGAAACTTAACACACCTGGGGCCAATTTCATAGAGCTGCTTAAGCACAAAATTTGCTTAAGCACGAAAACGTCTTGCTTAATAAAATCAGGTTACCGGCCAAAACTCCATGCGATTGTTATGCTAAGTAAACAACAGCTAAATACCAGTCACAAGCAATGTACATCACATGGAGTTTTGGCCGGTAACCTAATTTTATTAAGCAATGTTTTTTCGTGCTTAAGCAAATTTTCTGCTTAAGCAGCTCTATGAAATTGGGCCCAAGTCTGCCTGTTTGAATCCAAAATCTATTAGGATCGACTCGAGTCGCTCTTTTGACTTCTTTTTTTTGGCGGGACCCTGGATTGGCATTCTGAAACAACTGTACATCTTTGAATTGTATTTGAATTCATTTACTTGCAAACGTGTTTTCTTTCGTTCAAAATGAGTAGAGGTTGACAAGATTGAAAGAGTGGATGGAGAAATCATTTCTGTTCTTGTGAAGTGCATACTGTCACCGTGATTGTTCAGTCAAGTCTGTTTGTTCATAGTGAGTGTCTGTCTGTTTTGTTTGTTCTTCTTACCATTCCTCTGCCTTTGGTGTTTCGTAGCACTCCGCTGCATAGTAGTTTCTTCTGTTGACTGATGAGAGGATTTTCTTGACTGTCTCTCAGATAGACCAGATGATCGATGTAGTGTCGGCATTTCATCTCCCCCGTCCGCCGATCCACCTCCTGGCTCACCCCCTCTGCTGCTTTGGTCTGAGGGCAAAACGTGATAAGATCAGGAAATGAGTGAGGAATGAACGATTCCACAGAAGATGTAACTGACAAAACCCAGCATTAATGGTGAATTGATTGATATTCATTAATGCTTTTCTTATTATCAACTTTGATGACTTCAACTCATGTTGACAAAAACATCAATAAATTTATCAAATGAAGCTCAACATGTGGTCAACAAGGCTAGAAGCACTCCGGGTTTGAGGTTAAAGGAAATGGGAACCAGGGAAACAATTTTACAAAGACAATGCTTGTGGCTTTTGCCATGTTTTCCTTGAAGTGAGCAATCACCACACAGAACAGACAGAACACGGTTGGGTGAATATGCTGATTTGAGAAACTGGCTTGAGAATAAAAAGTTGTCAATGGATGTTACTCACTGCTTTGGCAAGGTAGGGCTTGTCCGGATGCTCGTTGGGCGTCACCTCCAGAATCTTCTGAATCAAGAGGGGATACTTGATCAGTCTCCGCCTGGGCACGTCCAGGAAGTTCCACAGGTCCAGGCGCCGACTGAACGGCGACTCCTGGCATCGTTCCAAGAAATCCCGGACCTTCTTGTCTTGGCGTTTCTCGTCCAGGAGAACCTTGGCTGCCAAGAGGTTGGTGCAGTAAGCGGTGTAGATGTTGGTTAGCGTGGGCAGCTGCGTGAGAAATAAAGAGACATTTCGTTATATTCGTGCATACACCGGCAGCTCTGAGAAATGTTGCTTAGTATTGTCCTGTCTCGTGCTAGGATAAGAATCTGATGATTAGCTGTTTTACATACCCACTTGAGTAGAACGTTTCCAACGGAGTCTGTCGTTCCATCTGCCCCCCTCTGTTTGATCAGCGTGTTAATCAAATCTGCAAACAGAAAAACAAAAGACGAATGATGATTTGAACACATTCAGCAGAATTAGTAGACAATTTAGGGTAAACGTGAAAAAACTGTTCAAGAATGAAGGAGTCAAAAACATGCATCTCTGTTGAATTCTCTTGTAGGAGAAAATGTGAGAGAAACTTGATTATTTTCTCTATGGCCAACGGCTGATTTGCCTTATTTTTTTCATCTTTCCTAGCAGGGGGCCTGGGAATGATCTGGTTGTGCTACATGTGTGATTTTATGACAGCACTTTGTTAACATAACACCCTCCCCCCCCAAAAAAAAAAACCAACTCCAACATCTACCAGATTTATAATAAATGATACACTGAGACAAAACTAGGACAGTGTCCAAGAAGTCCGGAAACATAAAACTGTGATGTGTCTTCTAGGAACACAACCAAGGCACAAAGAGCCTGAATAAATCTGCAAGAGAAATGAGACACTTGGGAACAACGAAGCGTCGGATTCCCGGGAAGAATCCCTCATTCAGACATCACCTAATACCCACAATAGTTCACCCTATTATCACGTTCCGATTCAATTATCTCCCACGTACTGGTACTAGTCAAATATTCAGCTGCCAGGTCTGAATTTCCCTGAAACAAGCCTAAAAATATGACCACTTTACCAGGAGTTAATGTTCCATGACGGCAATCAATCTAAATGCATGCACCAATCTACATGCAGGTGCTGGCTTATCACAGCATTTCTCCTAGGGGAAATTAATCGTGAGGGAAGTGTTTATATGAAGGCACAGAACTCAGTTGAGTGTTGTATAGACCGTGGAATCGACTTGTTTACAAAATGCTGCACACACCGTACCAGCAAGATGACGTCAATGTGTCACTGCTTTCTATAGGTGGTAGATGTTTAGGGATACACAAAGGTTTTCTTGTGAAAATAGTTAAAGATAACAAAAAATGAACATGTCGACAGCCATTCTTTCTCGTAAAAAAAATAATACAATTACGTCAAAGAAACAACAATTTTCCCCTTACTTTGATGCAAGTGCTGCAAGTCCTCGAGTCCTCCGAATATCGTCTGCAGCTCCTGCTCACTGAGCATGCCCAGGTACCTCATGGAATCGCGATACGTCTTCATGATGAGCCTCAGGTCGTCCACCATATCTACCTCCCCACGGAACAGCTCGTAGATAACCTGTAGAGACGTTCGACCAGAAATACATTGTTAGGTCCGTGAAAAACAAATCTTCGAACTCTGGAGTGTACATAGGGACCACAAAGACTCTCAAGAAAAATGTTTTGATTTTTCTACAGCTATATTTGTTCACGAGCGACTTTTAACTTTTTTTTCAGGTTACATACATGTAAAAGACTTTCTAACAAATGTTTTTACCATCTTCTTGTTTTTATTCGTCGAAAATAATTAATATGATCTTAAAATTCTAATGATACCTGAAAATGAATAACTTTTTTCTCCAAAGATGACCTTTTCATTTTTACTTGCGTCGGTAAAGTTAATTTTTTTTGTCCGAAATGTGATTTCCTAGATGAAAATCTTAATGACACAGTTAATCTGGAATACCTGGCATGTTAAATTAATCTCCCTTCACAAATTTACAACTTATTAATTACTTCCCGCAGTTTTCTTGTAAATGATCAAATTCTACAGATTTTCTTTCTTGATGGGCTCACAAGGATAACCCTTTCATCGTCTTAATTCCTACCTCTTGTCTCTTGATCTGTCGCTTGGTCAGTCCATCGTTGATGTTTCCCTGCACCGTCTCTGACCACAGCATGCTGTCTCTCCTCTTTGTGGGCGTGGCGGTTGGCTTACAGTAAGGCTTGATATCGAAAGGTGGAGAGTGGTTGGTCCGAAAGCTCATAGACCGCTGCCAAAGAAAGAAAATAGAAAAGATAAAGTACTGAAGTTACAGCAGTTTTGTAGTCGAGTCCCCCAGAAGTCCACCACGAGTCCTTTCATTATTATATCACAAGTCCTTTCACAAGTCCTGTCACCAGTAACAGGGAAATGAACAATAACAAAGAAATGCCTTCAGCACAAATCGTTGGAAAAGCTTCTGACTTGAATGAGACTTGTGATGGACTTGTGTGGCCTTGGGATTGACACGATGACAACACCGAGTTTCACAGCTCCAGATTCCACAACACTGCAGCGTCCAAATATAAAGTGAGGCGGACACTAGTTGCTTCGCACTTTAACTGATCAAAATTTGAAGTCGAATGTACAAACAACAAAACCACTCCTCCAAAACTAACCACGCTTCCTGATGGAGTGTGCTCAGAGTCCAGGACCATTACGAGACCGGATTTTCAGACAACCGAGCCGACAGCAAAAATGAGACTTCACAGCGACTGCCCAAAGACGCTAGCCAAAGTGTTGCTCAGCTGAGATCAAGTTACTGAATGTACATGAAAATGTAATTGCCAATGCTTTTTATACCACCGATACTGTGCAGGACGGTGACTACGTTCATATGCCTTCCTTATTAAAAAAAAAAGAGTAATTTATTCACCCGAGCGTAGTACGGTGCTACCTGGAATCATTAAGTATACGAGTACGTAGCACACACTGATGAACCGAGAAAAAAAAAACTGTAATCACGTAGGTGGTGCTAGACTTGCCAGAAATGCACACTGCTTTTCTCCTTTTTTTTCTGAATAAGACACTTGTGGTGACGTCAGTCGAGTGTATGGTACACTGTAAGTGACATGCATGTTTCTGGCGCCATCAAATGCTGGGTATTGTGGGAATAAACAAGGCAAAAGTGACACAGATGGGTCCATGGGAGATAGGCGTACCTCTAAGTGCGTGGTAAAATCTCACAATAAGGAGTTAATCACCTTAAAGGGGGGGGGGGGGTGTGTTCATGTCCCGTTGAAAGCAATGTCAGATAGCGGACAGAAAAACATCCTCCGTGAAGATTTCAGTGTGGATTTGTTTTGCTGTGGCAATGTACCGGTAACGTATATTAAAATACGTAACTCAATGGCTCGCAAATCAACACACTGAAAAGATTGCAAAAAGATAAAAGACGAGGATATACTGATGAGTGAACACATTGTGCACGTGTTTGTTCAGAAAATGTATACCTTGAGACAGACGTGGGTTCTGATGTCATTTCAATTTCGATATGATCTTCAACATTGCAATGACCATAGAGCAACAAGTACACGTAGGAACTACCAATAGACAGTGCAAGGAAAACTTATGATGTACATGCTTTCTCTGCACGCTTAATAACAAGACCAAAAATTAAGCAACTCCAGTTGACCAAAGTATGTGGTCAATGGAGGACAAATGTACATGTAGAATGTTATGGTTCGAGTCTGAACTTAACCTGCATATTAACCCTAACTGCCTAAGCCTTTTTTGCTAGGATGCAACCTCAATCCTGCAAATCCTCCAATTTGCCTCATGGAAAATTAGCATAGATGTACAGTATAGCCTCAGGCCTACAAATTCCTCCATTATTTCTTGAATATGGTCCTTGGAGGGTGACCACTGCCTGAATCCTGCAAAAATCCTGCAGCAGTGACTGTCAAAAATTATGTTGAGGCTTGGCCAGTGACATCCTAGAGCAGTATGGAGGATTTCAAGCATAATCCAGGCCTACCGGTATATTTATACACGTACGTGGCTGAGCAAAAACAACCCAATTAAGGTCCAGCCCAAGAGCTTGACAAAGGGCTTCCTACAAAATCAGTAATGCATTTTTGCCAGTAACCTCAATCCTCCAAATTCTTCTACTTTGGCAAAGCGGATTTTTAAGGATGCAGGGTGGTTAGGGTTAACATGCAATTTCTGGTGACATTAGGAACTGAACCTTCTTGCAAATATTTTCAGTTTTGAGAGGAAAGAACTTAGACAAAATACCAATTGCTGAAACTACCCCCTCTACTTCAGTGCCTCAGCCCTCATTAGACTTAACCCTTACTCTCTGAGGGTAGTTTACTGCATGTCAGTTGGTTATGCCAATGCCCTCCAGCTGCAGTTTATAGGAGGATACTTTGATGTAGCAGTAAAGGCTCCAATTGGCAGGAGTTGGAGGCCCTGGAGGGTGCCTGATACTGACCAGCTGGGGGCACTCACTTTGTTATCAGAGGACTCTCATTGTTCTCTGTGGCATGTATTGGAGTGCCTGTCCAGTTACCCTTGAAATGACATGGCAGATATTGGAGGGCCATGCAAAAAACATAGGAGATTTTCTTGAGGCACATATTGGCATGCGTTGGAGGGTCTAGTAGGGTAAGGGTTAAATAAGGAAAACATGCAACTCTTAATTATTCTTTGAAGAATTCTGTTCTATTTAATTCTTCTTTGAAGAATTCTGTTCTATTTAACTCAACATTTATATTTGGACAGGAAACGTGCATTTGTCCTAATTGGTCCTAATGATGATCATTGATAAGAAATTTCGTAATGATTTTCGTAATTTTGCCTGCACGTGTGTCTTCAAGAAAACAACGTGCCTTTTTGTGGTCAGGTGTGTGAACACGTGCTTTAAGTTTGTTTTTAATCTTGTAAAGTTGCCACTGTGGGATTTCATGACGATTTTAATCGAGAAAAGATTTGCTTAGTCTCCTTGATATTTGAATGCTGGTCGGTCTAACAATCCTGTGTCGCTGCAATTGTATGCAATTTTAAATGTTTAATAATGCTAGGATTGTTTGGAACTAATACTGTGACCTTTTGAAATGTCAACTGAGCAGCTGAGGCAAAACCACACTTTTTTAACGGGAAAAACTGTCTTGAAATTGAACAGTCTTGAGTAGTCATGAGGTGGATACACGTGGGGAATAATAACTTGTACATACTCCTACCGGAAGTGACGCTAAAATCACGGTAAATCTACAGCAAAATTTGTTGAGCATGAAATGCCATCAACATTTGCAACGCAAATTCTTACCGTGACAACACAAATCTGCGTTCGGTTCAATTACATGCTGAGCATGAAACAGCCTTTACGAATCTTTGCAACAAAAACTGAACATTTTGAAAAAAAAGTGATAATATAACAATGAAACATAGTACGAGGTTTGATAGATGATATACTAGCTCCCTGAATGATTGGAACTTCGTCTCGGAAACTGTCTGTCAACTTCCAATACCGAGGGGAGCTAATATCGACTAGCGACCCTCAAACCATATTTTATTTGTTTACTATACTGCATTCATATTCACAAAGACATGTAGATTTTAGCTCGTAAAGAGATTCTGAGACGTCTTGTTCTAAGCTGTATCAAAAAGTCCCGCTTGTAAAAAGAATACAGTGTCATCTACAGATTCTTCTGAAGAAGCTACATGTGTAAGTGCATAACTCTGTGTTTCAAAAAGAAATTGTAATAAATCACACGAACTTCAAAAGAGAAGACAAGTTTTCATGGCAGTCTGATTCCTGGAGACAAACCGATCAACGCGTCACTTTCTGGGACAAGAACGCAGTCCAATCAGGATCTTAGATCACTCGGTAAACCCCTTCCCAAATCCCTGCCGTCACTCCGACATATTGAACAGCTTGGCTGGATCTGCACACACAACAGTGTCGCAGTTTAAGCTGGTTCAGGGAATATATCCTGAAGTGATTGGCCCAAGGGGTAATATCCATGGGCTATAATTTGATAGTAATGCCCTGCTACTGTTACATGTTTATATAGTCCAGTGAGGCAACTTTGTGATTTAACTGAGAAAACAGGGATTTTCTCGCTGATACCGCTGATTATGGGACACGAAATGGCCTTTTTCAAGAATAAAGATCTTTTTACGTTGTGACTCAATCACAGGTACGCTAGTATTTCTGCATTTGTAGTTGGGTTCAAATTACTTGGCTATAATTTGCAATTACACATGCGCCTTTAGAAGTGGCTGTTAAGGGCATAACGGATCATTTGCATTTATCCCAAAAGAAGCCTATCAAATTATTATCCCAAAGCTTACTTGGATTAAAGATTGTACTGGTACTAAACAGTACCCTGTGAAATGATTCCGTCTGGCTTGCTGTCATTTAGAAGAAATCAAGAAATGTTGGTGATTTCCAACAAATAAAGAGTGCTATCGACAAACTCGCATTTCATGATCAAAAGGTTGTGCAAGGTTTTTCACTATTCACTCGAAAAAGTGTAATATCCACTGAGCTGAAACTTGAACATGTTGAACCCTCTAGTTTAGAGTTTGAGTTGTGTTATTTATAGTGGAAACGACCGAAATGCATGAAAAGCAAATGATCCACTTCCTATAAACACAGCTGTTCTTGCCAACCACAGTCAAGTCATTCTGACACGACTTAGACAGTGTCACTTGCAGTATATACACTACCCCAACTCTGCCCCAACTCCATGTAAAGAAACCACCACACAATAGTACAGTGAAACCAATTGTGGTTGATGCAGATAACTTTGGAGGACTACTTTTCTATTGATGTCCTAACGCTGAAAACAGTTCCTCAAATTCAAAAGTCACAGACCCATATCAATTCCTTGTGGTCTTAATTGACATCTCCCCCCCCCCCCCCCCAGAAATTGATGTCAATCGAAACTGACAATGTGACTGACAGGATTTGATATGTAGCTCAGGGATATAATTCTTGTTTTGGACATTCCTTAACTCAAGATGTACAGAATTTCCCAAAGTTGTCACGGCAATTTTTTTCCCCCCTTAACCTCCCCAGGGCGCAAGTGTGGCTGGAATTCCTGGACATCACGGAGTGTAACAAACACGCAATATGTATTTTGACACTCCATAGTCAATGGAACCAGAGGATATTTGTGGTGAATTTCTTGGTAGAATGTGTATGGTTTTACCTGTTATACAGAGTGTACAGTACCGGTATGTGTCAGCATATGACACAAGGTATATATAACTGGGTCAATA